ATATATATATATATATATATATATATATATATATATATATATATATATATATACAGTATATATTTATATAGCTATTAAATACATATGTTAAAACATATTAATACATTTTTATATATGTGTGTATTAATATGTTTTAACATTAATTTAATAGCTATCTATATAAAATATATAATATTTTATATAGATTATATAAAAGTATATAAAAGTTTATATAAAATAAAAGTATATATAAAATGATATAAAAGTTATTTTTACATTTTATATATATATATATATATACAGTATTTTAAATATTGTATGACCTGATTTTACAGCTCTGGGATCTGTATCTGTCTTCTTTTTCTAAAGATGTGGTGGAGATTTCAGTCTTCCGTAATGAGCTGTTTTGTCTTCATGGTGATGGTCGTTTGTCTCACCTGTCGCTGATGTCACCTGAGCGCTGTGTGGAGCGTCTGATGAAGAGGGAGAGCTGGACGCTCGCCGCCACCGTCTGCTGCATGTTTCAGCACGCCATTATTACATCCAGGGTACACATGCAAACACCAACACATGTAGTATGCATTCTGCGTACTATTTAGGAGGCAGTATGTACTTTGCAGTATGCATTAAATATTACATTAGTACTCCATTCCTAATATAGTCTCTCTCTTTTGTGTTTCCTCCTTAGGCCAGGAAGTCCCTCCCCATTGATCGTTTGGAGCAGCTCAAGGCTCAGCTAAACTCCGCCTCCCAGCAACAGCGGATTGGTCAGCTTGAGGACGTGATCAGCAAACTGGAGCCACTGGACTCCGCCTGCAGCAGCCGCAGGAGCAGCATTTCCTCACACGTGAGTCCAAAAACACGCAGGCATATGAATAGACGCACGTTTTCGAAATGAAAATGACTCTTCCTATAGCCTCGTGGCTAGTGCATATCACATTAAAGGCATTAAAAAGCCCATAAATATAACTTTCAAAAAAAAAAAAAGAAAAGAAAATGACTCTTCCTGTTGTGCGCAGGAGAGCTTCAACGTTCTGGACTGCGGCATCTACCGCGTCATCAGCCGAAGAGGCAGCCAATCAGACGATGAGTCCAACTCCCTCGCCAACCAATCGATGCTTGAGGAGGAGCGGCTGAAGGAGTTCAGTTTCACCGAGGAGGAGCAGGTGGAGAATGGTGAGACTGAGAGAGAGTCACAGAGACGGGCGAAAGATCGATTTCAAACCTAAAAGCGAGTTAGCAGATTCCGGCTCTCTCAGTGGGAATTGTGTGTCCTGATGCAGGAAATACTCCACTCACATTTCATTATTGATCAGAACGTATGAAACCTTGTTTCTGCCTTGGGATAAAAATTTTTTAAAAAGGTAATCGCAGCTTTTTATCTCACAATTTTTCTTAGAGTTGATACCAACTCAGAAAAATAAATGTGCAAGTATGACTTTCTTCCCCAGAATTGTTCATTCACAAACTCACGAGATATAAACTTGCAGAATTGTGAAATAAAAAGTTGCAATTACTTACTTTTAATTTTTTTATCTCTGGCTAAACAGGTTTCCATAAGCAAGAGTTTTTCTTCAACACATAGAAATATTTAGCACATAAAGCTACACAGACATGTTTTACTAATCTGACATTAATCAGAGCTATAGTAGTATATTCAGTATGGAAAACAAATGCAAACTGGGACTATTTACATGAAAAAAATAAGAAGGATTAGCCAAAAATGAATGAGTGCCATTTTAGAGGCGCATTTCTTTTTTCCATTTGGAATAACATACAACAGATGAATAATTGACAGTAAGACCAGGGATGTGTATTAAGATAGTAAATAAGTTTAAGTTTAATTTTCACATCCTTGCTGAAAGCAAAAATTCTGCACAAAGCAACAAACTCACAGCCATTCAGAACTTATTTGATATTTAATAAAAGATTTTGAGGTTCAATATATGGACAAATGAGATTGACATATAATGCAGTTTACAGCTGGTTATGACAAAAAAAATCAAATTTATCATAAATATTGTATATATATTTTTTTTAATTTATAGTTTTTTAGTAGTTATTGTATGTCGATGTGTTGTATGTCAAATATTATGCAATAAAACACACTAAAAACATCAATGAGCAGTAGTTTAATCATTTATCTGGTGTTTGAACATTTTCTGATCATCGTGCTAGCTGACCTTATCAGTGATTATCTGCTTTATTCTGTGCTTTTGCTTAATTTTCCCTCCTGACTTCATTCTCTCTCTCTTTCCATTCATCCCACTATCATTTCATCTCCTCCTTTTGCTGTCCTGAAGACGCTCAGTCTGTGCGTGGAGAGAGCGACAGGTCAGACCTCAGCTTGCAGTTTCTGCCGCTGCCTTTCCGCTCAAAACCCCCACGAGTCGCCCTGCAGGCTGTTCGAGACAGGTACACACACTTATACAGCTGTCCCTAAAAACTCTACTGTAATAATTTCACTTCTTCTTAAATGTCACGCCAGACACAGTCTGCTTTGCTGTGATTGGCTGGATCACAAGGAAGTAAAACTCCACTGAAGAGTCAAACTTATTTTAATGCTCATTAAAATGCAGCTGCTGATACGCAGGGTTCTTTTTCTAAAACTGTGACTTCCTGTTTCGTCGTAGTGTCACATATTTCTTTGTCTCATTGTCTCGTTTTATGCTGATGTGTGTGATTGGTAAGCCTACAAGTTATTTCTGCTCTTCTTTGTTTTCTTTATGCAAAATCAGTGGCATTTTATTTCCTTATATTTCGATCTCAGTGTTTTGTATTTGTGAATGTGTGTATGTCAGTGTCTCTAGCTTTGTGAAAAAGACCACCGAGAAGATCAACACGCTCCAGATGAACACAGACCTGTGGCCTCGGCCTGACCTCAGGGAAGGGGTTCAAGGGGAGGTCACGGCCACAGTGACCCCTCTTCCAGAAGAAGTCGAGCATGAGTGAGTCTGTTTTACTTTCTGACTCCCTATTTATGATTTCTGAATGCTGCTATTGATGTTTTGTATATCCACGTTGTTTTTACTGTGGTTTTTGATTGTCTCTCTGAAAGACTGAGCGCTGCGCGGTCCAGCTCTGAGTCTGAGCTGCAGGAGTTGAGGGCCGCCACAAAGAAAGCCATGTGAGTTTAGAGGAGCGCTGCTTCGTACCGCTGCATACAGGCAGGAATGTGTTCAGTCAAGTTGAATTATAAGCTAATGAATGTTTGCACATAATACAGAGAATTATAAAATCATGTGGAAATTTTGGCCAAAAACAACTTATTTGTGTTATCAATATACACTACCATTCAAAAGTTAGGGGAGTTTTTTGGAAAGTAATTCATATTCAGAAAGGATGCATAGAATTTATCAGAAGTGTCTTACAAAGTAGTCTTACAAAAGATTTCTATTTCAAATAAATGCTGTTCTTTTGAACTTTCTGTTCATTAAATGTATCCTGGTTTCCACAAAATATTAAACTGCATTTTTTTTTTTTTTCAACAAAAAAAATTTCAACATTGATAAAAATCTGAGATGTTTCTTGAGCAGCAGCATATTAGAATGATTTCTGAAGATCACGTGACACTGAAGACTGGAGTAATGATACTGAAAATACAGCTTTGATAGCAGGAATAAATTACATTTTACAATATATAACAAGAGAAAAACCTGATTTTAAATTGCAATAATATTTCACAATATTACTGGTTTTACTGTATGCAGGAGTTGTGACTTTTAAAAACATTTCATAATCTTGCCAACCCCAAACATTTAAATGGTAATATAGTCATTAATAATTTTTTTAACCTCAAGTTTATAGGTTAAAATACATTAATGCAAAAGAGAAATTTTTTTATTTTATATGCACCATTTTTTTGAAGGTTTTTTTGCAGTTGTGTTTAGCCTTTTGCTGTTCATTTTAATATCCTGACAAATAATTTTTTAAAGTACATATATTTCAATTTAGTCTCTAAATTAATGTGAAGTCATAAAATGTGCGTATAATCATTACAATGAAAAGTTTAGTTTTCCTGTGCACTGGACTGTTATTAGAGCTGATATGTGCTCC